TGTATCACTAAGACTCAATTTTCATAAGAAACGTTACTACATATATCAGTACTCTATTATGGTAATTACAGTTTTCCCACATTTGACACATTTTTATTACTATAACATCTACAACAAAAAACATGAGAAATATATTATGTCATTTTTAACAGTGTGACAATAAGCCATTTGCAAGAATTCCTACAAAAGAATAGCACTGTTATAAGTGACTTCCATCTTGAATTCACATTGCGCAAATGACACTTGATGTGGGAAGAATGACTCAGGAGAAGGTGGAGAGTTTCCTCATTTGTAGAAAACTTGTAGTATCAGCTGTTCTGTAAAATGTTTTGTGGAAATATAGAAACTTCCCAACAATGTCTTTTACAATTCTGGGAAAGGGTTATTTGTTTATAATGGTTGTAAATCTGTTGATACAAATTGATGCTCAGTTGGTAAGCCAAGCTGATACTTATGGACCTCTTAACTTACTGGCCTTCTCTGAATTTGAAAAAAATAGTAAAAATATAAAACTTTATAAAATATAAAACTCTTTCTCATAAGAGTTCGTAATGGATCAGGAATTCATAAGATAACTTCCTGTTTCATTTTTCTGTTGTGATCCTAATTTGCATTTGTCTGTTCCTCAATAAATGAATTGGCTCTCAGACTGCAATACAGTTTTCACCTGGTTCGGGCAGAATGCTCTATCAGGGGTGTCAAACTGCCGGTCCGCAGACTGGATGTGTCACGCCAAAACCGCACCCACCCCATTGCCGGCAATGGGAAAAAGGTCGCAATACGTCGTGACACGTCACATGACGTCGCAAATTTGACACCTGTGCTCTAGATACTATGCTGGCCTCTAAACTTTATTTTTTAAAATGCAATTCATTATGTGCTCTATTACCTTGTGTAACCCTAAATACTAATTCAATAAACATTTTATTTCTCTCTATATATTGTTCCTCTCTTATTAAAATTCTTCATGGATATGTTTTCAGCACAAAAGTTCTTATCCTTCAATTTCAGTTGTGATCAGGGAATTTTTAAATAGTGCAAAAAAAAAGTTTCCTGTCATTTTATTCATATCTCACTTGTCTCTTATAGAATGAACAAACTAATCAATGTAAGGTGTACAAATAGGAATATGTTTATTTCCTAATTCTGAAGCTACCCATTCTAGAAAACATAGTTTAGAATGGTGGCAGGGAAAAGGCTAATGGGAAATTAACCATAACTTCTTGAGATTTAAACAAAATTTTAAAAATCAAAATAAGGGAAGTAATAGTTCCATTCTGTTCAGCAATAATAGGCTTGAAATATAATACCTGGCTGTTTGCCTTGCACTTTTGAGATGTATTTAGCTGTGAAGAAGGGAAGATGGTCAGACAGCTGAAAATCTAGTAAGTAAAAGAAAAGGAAATTTCCCTTCGGGAAAAAAAAGGATATACTAGACAACCCATGACTACCTGGATTATCCTTTCAGAGATGTTTCCTTACTAGATTCCTTTTATAATAATTTTTATGTCATATTGTTTTATAAATTTGCCATATTTTAATACCCTGGGAGTCATGGGTCCCAGATTTTGGAGACAAAATAATCAAGTAAACAGTACACCAATCAAGGAACTACCAATGCAGACAAGCTAACAAAAACAATAGCCCAGTCAAGGAACCTCTAAGAACACTCCTACCAAGGTTGACAACAAGCTACTAATATATAAAAATAAGAGCAAAGCTCCCCTTCTAGCACTGATGATGTTGACTAATTTGACAGTGAAACATCTGCAAGAAAACTATCAAGCTCAGAGAGCAACAAGGATCCTACAGTCTTTAACATCTACTTAAAAGTTGCACAAATTACCAGTTTGCTTCCAGGTCCAATTCAAGATGCTTCTTTTGACCTTTAAAATCCCTCATAGCATGGGGTTGGGTGAAATGAGGAACCGCCTCCATCTGACTACATCTGCCCATCCTATTAGATCTGGCAGAATAAGTATATTTTACATCTGGCAGGATTTCAGATATATCATTCCTCTCAGGTGAGACTGGCCCCAGCCCCACCTTCCTTCCAGAAGTTCCTTAAAGCATGGTTGTGTAATCAAGATTGGGAATTAGAGGTAGTTCTTGACTTATAATCGATTGCTTAAGAACAAAAGTTATGACAGACCTCCCTGGATGTACCTGTAACCTAGTGCTGAAGTGCCAACAGTCAGCCCTCTTCCACCATCATGTGACTGGGCACTGGGTGATTGGCCCATATCTATAGCCATTTGCAGCATCTCACTGCTTTTTACAAACTTTTTGCAAGTTTTTGCAAAAAAACAGCATATACTTTTGTTTTTTGGCAAAACTAGCCCATAGTGAACAATGGGTATGCTTAATAACTAGAGCAAAAAACGTTGTAAAATTGGGCTGGTCACATATAGATGACCTGTTTTACAGCTATAATGAACAGATTTATGACTTACCATCATAAGTCAAGGAATACCTGCATATAGTATTGCAATATGACTGTAGTGCCTATAATGATAATGTAATAATATGGCTGTATTGCCTTTAATGGTAACTCTCTTTGCTACTCTGTTGCAGGTAGCTTTGACTGTTTTTAATTGTAGAATGCTCTGTTAGCTTTTTATGATTTTTTATTGTACACTAAGCAGTCACATTCTGTGAGATGGTCTCTATATAATTGTAATATCAATCTATCAATCAACAAAACTAGCATTACAGAGGGAAGCCTATTTTCATAAGTGAAAGTATTTTCTCATGTTCATCTGAACTTTTACATAAAGTTGCTTTCTATTTGATACCTATAACAGGATTGTATACTATATAGCTAAAAGGTATTCAAGACAAATTGCAGACTGAGCTGAGAAATTATATCAACATCTGTGTTAAAATTGTCCTGTCAAACTGAACTTAAGCTCTATGGCCTTACTGTCACAATCAACACCAGGAATTATCCATTTTCAACAATAGTATCTCCAGAAACAGGTGAAGTTGTAATACATGGGTGGATGCATTAAAATAATTAAAATGCCAAAATGTTCCAACACTATTTTAGTGCAGTTTAGTTACTACTAAACAGTTGTAAACTTGTCAAGATCTTTATGACTATAATACCTCATGATTAAGGAGAAACTTCCTGAGGATAATTAACCAGTGGAACAGCTTGCCTCCTGAAATCATGGAGATTTTAAAGAAGAGGCTAGACAGTCACGTGTCTGAGATGGTATAGGTTCTCCAGCTTGAGCAGGGGCTGAACTAGAAGACCTCCAAGGTCCCTTCCAGATTCTATTCTATTCTATTCTATTCTATTCTATTCTATTCTATTCTATTCTATTCTATTCTATTAGAATCCTGATCTTCAACTACTTACACTTTTTTTTTTACTAATCCCCGACTGTCCCATTTTTCAAGATACTATTCCTCAGTCTCCATTGTTATGTACAGATTCATCTGTAGCTCTATCTTAAGTGCAGTGTTGGGGAGCTTAAAGCTGGAGGAATCCTAATACCATTAACTAAAAGTATTTGTGCATTTATTTTTCTTATTCATAATCTTCTGGTACAAAAGATGAAAAAGTGGTAGGATTTAAAGTAGTAGATGCCGTGTCCACACAACATGCAACTTACTATATTGAACTGAATCCAGTTGCTTAATTTCACTAATACACTGAACCATTACTCATATTGATTTGTACAATGAGCCAGATATTAGCCACCCACATCTTAATCCAACATGTTTTAGCCCACCACTGCAAAGTACGTACATTTTATAAGCAAGTTTTGTATAAACTCAGCTAATATTTTTATCCATAAAATTTTGTAAAGGGTAGAAAAAGCTTTGTGTAGAAGTAGCTTTAATGCATTTGATATTTTCATTTTTCCATGCAATTTAAAGATGGTTATTTAAAACACAAAAAGGTATGGGATAGGAAATGTCTGCATACTTCCTCTTCAATTCTGGAGTTTCAGTGAGTATAACTACCAATTCAATGATTTTTATACAGTAAATTCTTTCCCCCTTGCTGTAAACCAAAGCAATATTCTGGAGAGAGATTATGTTGTTAGAAGTAAAAATATTAAATTGGGGCTCATAGCCATTATACATAAATGAGAGGGCTAGATAAACCTCTCAAATTAAGCATTGTTTAGGCTGGCATAACATTGTAGAATAGAAAATAATGTTTTGTCCTATCCTATTGTGTGAACCAAGGCATCATATAGACCTGTTTACTTCTGTTATGTTCTCATCATACAATAAATAATAAACATATAGCTTAATATGAGTAGTGAGATGGGTGACATATAAATTTAATAAATTGGCTTATTTAAATTTAGACACAGTATGCAACATGAACATGGCAATTGGGCCTTTTTTGGTAACTCAGATATAACATACTAATAAATCTTACATTTGACCAAGTATTTTATGGCCTTTTACTTTTCAGAGGGATGCTAAAGGCCCAGTAAACTCCTTATTAGAGATCATAAGATTGACTTTTTTATCTACAATAGTGATTCTCTAAGTTTGGTTAAATAATGGGATTGGTCCAAGTCACTCAGCAACTTACACACCCAGCAACATTCTGTTCTCCAAATCAAAGGAAAATGGAAAGCTACCATATCTGTAGCAGTCCTTTCCCCACAATTGGAAAACATGACCAAGTTGCTACCTTTATGTGAGAGCAGGTAGGATCTCTTGCTTCCGTGGTGCTTTCTAGCAGATGTAGAGATAAGGAAAGGGATCATCATGGGATTATAAGCAAAAGTTACTAGAACCAATAATTACCTTATGAAATATAAAATTGATATTTTTACCAGACCCCTCCCTCCCCCCAAAAAACCCCTCGGGTTGTCAGGCAAAGCTCTCCAAAGCTAAAGCGTAGGCACTCCCTCTTCAGGGAGGTTTTCGGGAAACAAGCCAATTGGAGCCCAGCAGCTCACTGATTTCCTTTGGCTCCTCCTCTGTGCAGTATAAAATGCTTGCAGAAAAAAGAGCTCGCTCCAGTTGCTGCTAGAAACGACTGCTTTCCGTCTTTGTTTTTTTTATGCTGTTTTCGTGACAGATTGGCCCCAGGATGGAGGCTCCAGCTTGAGCACGTGCCATCAACAACTGGTAAGCAGCCATGTCCCAGCTCAGGTAAAGGGGTTTTGTGAATGAGCACCGACAGTGTAGTAACTCTGAGTTTCCATTTTTTTCCAGATTTTCAGTCTGGATACTTTTCAACCGTTTTCAAAAATGTTGCCTATATTGCCAAATCGTTAACTGGCAGAAAATATTTTCTTTGGCCCTGAATAAATAGGGACAGTTATCTTGCCCTGATGCTTTGAGGGGAAAAGAAGGGAATATTTATTCTTTACAAGAGTATGATGCAATTAATCTCTAAGAAACAGCTGCACATTTTCTGGTACTTAAATGAATGGGCTTTAAATTCCCCACTTTGAGGGCGGGGTCGAGACATGATTTATTAATTAGAAATATTAATATCTGCTGCCCTTCCACTAAGATCAATAAAGCAATGTACGCGTCACAGCATAAGCATACTATTTTTAACAAGAGAAACGTCGATTGTCAAATTATCTTTAAAACATCAAGATTCCTTTAGAGCCATTTTGTAGTGTTTTAATGTGCAGCCGGTCTTTTGAGTTTGCCAAGAATAAAATAACTACAACATAATAACGCATCGGCTATTTTCAGAAACTTTTGCTGGGAGGGAAGGCGTATCTACTGTTCGCAGGCAACCCGCCTCATCTCAGGAGGGAGGGGCTGATTCCAGACGTCTCCTCCCCCATTGAGGAAGGAGGAAAAAGGAAGAATTCTGGCTTTTCGTGACCCAGTTAAGATAAAACCTCTGCTCGGATTTCAGACACTTGGTTAACGAGTACGGAAGGAGTCGCCTCCGCAGCCTAGAGAAGCGCTCTCGCCTCGCGTTGGTTTGCTTTCTGCATTCCTCGGCCTTTCTGAGAAGAACCGAACAGGCTTTCTGCTTGCAGCTGCAGCAGCCGTAGAACCGGAGTCATGGTGAGGGACTTGTAAAGAGCGCGCGTGTGGTACCTGGCACGTTCTGAGCACAATGCAATTAGAAGGCCACCGTGATGTTTAATTAATCACTGATGCGACAAGGTTTTGAGAGTGAACGGGAAAGCAAATCTTGCCTTTACATCCAGGTTTCGGATGGATGTCCGCTAGTAGGGTTGACCGGGAAAACTAGAGCAAGGCTAATGTGGAATGGAATATATACTGGGATAATGGCGGTTCATTCTTCCCCAAACCAGCACGCTATAGTTCAGGGGTCTTCAAACTTGGCCCTTTTATGACTTGTGGACTTCAACTCCCAGAATTCCTCAGCCAGCGTGCCTGGCTGAGGAATTATGGGAGTTGAAGTCCACAAGTCATAAAAGGGCCAAGTTTGAATACCCCTGCTATAGTTCATAGATCCAGAGGATCACTGGATGACCACAGGTGTTGTTAGACTTTTCCAAACCTCTTCTTTGCTGTCGTTTAACTGCTGTGCAGCCCAAATATGGCAATGTAAATTATGAGAGTTGTATTTCAGCATATCAGGAGGCATCAAGTAGGATGTGTCAATTGCACGATCAGATTCATTTGGGAAGAGTCAAGATTTGCTCTCAGTAAAGTGTACGGGTAGGCAATTGTCCAAACAATAGCTTACTTCAATTTGTTTGAGTTTGCACAAGTCACAGCTACAGATTAAACAGCTATATTTTAGTTTAGTTGATTGTGTGATTTAGACTTTAGTGCTTCAGTGAATTGTCAGAGCCCAGAAAAATGGACTGATTATAGTAAATGAATTAAACTGAAAGTGAGTTTGATATAGTAATTAAAAAGTTAGATTAAGAATCTATTCTGTCCTCAGTCACTCAGTCTAGGTGGGACTCTTTCTCTCAGCCCAACCTACTTTACAGGCTGTTGTATTGTTAGAAAATAGTGTTAACCACCATGCACTCCTGAACAAAAAGCCATTATCTTTATTACTTAGTGTTTGTATATTTTGTAGGATTCATTCATGTTACTGAATAATATGATCTTTAAAATAACCCCATAAGTTAGGTCAGTATTTTATTGTCCCTCCATTGCAAATAGAGGCCTGAAGCTGAGTGATCTGAGTAGATTTAATGGTAAATTCAAACCTGTTAATTTTTAACCTGATTTGAGATGATAAAATATATATTATAGATTTAGGCTTTGTACAATTTATAAAGAATTATGTAAGGGAGATTGTTTTTTGGGTGTAATTATGGAGATTTGGGAAAGTAATACAAAAAACTAAACTTTTCTTTATATACTACAGATCAAATGATTTGGGTGTTTGTGATATGATTATTTGAGACCTTACAGTATTTAAGAAATTGGGAGATTATAGGCTGGGAATGTAGACCTGATAGGTTAGAGAAATAAGGAGAGCAAACAGGTTTTATTTATATTTTATTTATTTATAGAAAAATTTCTGCTATTTTACAATTTATAATACCAGGCATGGGAACAGAGAACTTTCCATTCACAAGAATATTTTCCTTATGCTGCCTTTTATTACCTGAACTTTCTGGTGGGTTTCATAGGCAACCTTCTCACTGAACCTAATTATTCTAGTTTACAATTGCTATATAAAGCTACCTGCCTTGATTTTTCTTATTTATATAATCAGTATGAATCAAAATTCTTAGAGGTAAGCTTCCCAGCCTCTGGATTAAAGTGATTTATTATTCTTTGCTCGCTTCCATATACACACATAAAGCTTTACAAAGCAATCTATACTTGGAAGATGTTGGGGAAAATACTTGACTGTCATCATACTTCCAAAGGAAATTGTGCAGAAAGAAAATTGAGAAAATTTTCTCTCATACCAACAGTGACTAATTTTCAAAACAGTCAGACCAACATTTTTAGCAAATGTATTGGAGTTTGTAAAGGGAGGGCTAGACATTTACATTTATTTTAATTATGTGAAAGACGCCAAATTGGATTATTTTTGCTATTCCAGAGGTGCCATAATTTAGATTATGAACATTGACAGAGTAATAGTGTTTGCATTCTCTTACCGATACTAATTAGCTATAGGGAGCTATCTTTATTGCATGGTGTTCCTGCTTTTTCAGCATTCCAAATTGGTCACAAGTGATGATAATCTTATGCCAGATTTCAAAATGAAAGGACTGGGAATAGAAACATATGGAAATGTCCTTGTTTTGCTGTTTTTACCTATTCTTGCATGCATCTTAATTGTGGGCTTATTTTTATATACATTTTATGTTAATTTTTTATCAACTGTAAAAATTGTATTTGTGTGCCAAAATATAATTAAGTGCTGTGCATACTATACTATATCTGTCTCAAGGTACCTGAGTTGCAGAAAATAACTGTCCGGATGAAGAATCCTGAACGTGTAAAAAGTATAGTTTCAGCACTCAGGAAAGGTGGAGCAGCAAGACTCCAGGTGTGTGACTCTTTTTATAATCTTAGTTTCTTTCCCATCTCTTTTCAGGATATGTGTTTATTCCAACAATTTTATCAGCATATAACAATGATAGGCAGGACTGGGACAAAATTAAATGTAACTTAAAATGAATTGCAGTTAATATAATATGCTTCACATTGAGTATTTCTCTCCATCTCATTAATAATTACAATTCAACCGCAACTGGGATTGAATGTTGCATCAAAGCTTTTGGAAAATATGTTGTAAACCCCCTGATTTAGAGACCTAATTGTTAAGTGGCTCTGAACTATGATGTTGTAGGATGCCACCTAAACACAGTATTCTTTGGCAAGTTACTAAGTCTCCTTTTCTGTTCAATCCAGATCATTTCTGATTTTGACATGACTCTTACTCGGTTTGGCTTCAATGGGAAGCGCTGTCCTACTTCGCATAGTGAGTGTAATTTCTGGACTTTTTAAATTGTCACTTCCCTTTTGAAAAAAATATTGTTCTCCTTGATGGTTTTCTTTCTTGTTTCTCATATTATTGTCCTCATTCTCATTCTTTACAACGTGGCTTGTAAAAGCTTCTCAGATTATTTTTTCTTATGTTTTTCTTCCTATTGCTCCTGGTCTTTAGGCCACTTTTAAGTGAGTCATTGATACACTGTATTTGTGGGTATATTCAAATGATACATTAAACCCCAATCTAATTGTAATTATAATTTGGCTAATCTAAGATAATTATAACCAGGCTAATCCAGGTTTTACTGGTTAGCCACCACTTTTGATCACTGAAATAGTACTTTATTTTACAGATGCATAAATATTTTTTAAACCGCGGTGGCCTTATTGGAGTCAAAGGCACTTAGGAAAGACAGGGTGAGACTAAGCCTTGTCCAGGCTATTTTGTACCCCCATATTATATAGGTTTGGAGTGTGAAAAAGAAGAGATCATGTGATCCCTTAGTTATTCCCTTTCTTGCCTATTTCTAAGCCAGAAGGAGGATTTCCCTCAGAGAATTCCCTTTGCCTGTCTGAATTGAAATAATATTTTGAAATTTTTAGCTTAATGAATTTAATGACAAATTACATTTTAAAATTGTGATTAAGGCACTCTTTCTTAACCAGGATGTAATTCTTGATTCATAGAACATATTCAATTTAATATAATCTAATTGTTGTTTCAGTGTAATCTAAATAATTATGATTTAAAAATTTCATGAATAATAGGTGTTGGAAGATATGATTTCATGAAGTGAGAAGCATTGCTATCAGTAAGGAAAATAATAAGATGTTAGGCAACTTTGCATATATAAATAATTTACACAGGTCTAAAGTACTACTCTCTGGCACTCTTGTCTAATCTTTGTTTTCAAGCAGGAAGCATACACAATGTTCATATTTATTTTTACAGGCTCAGAAACTAGAAACTTATCTTTTAATAAACATAATTATAGTTTTTAAACATTCAGTTATATTTTTTAAAAGTTACTAAATTTTGTGCTCAATTTAAAATTCTGATTTTGCATAGTATAACAAAATACACATAGCCACATACATGTTATGATTCATCTGCATTAATCCTTTTTATTTTAAAACTCAGAACATGCTTTTAAAACACAGTATGTTCAAAATAAATTTAGACTCAGCATTATTGTGCATAAGAGTTTCTAGAAATCTGCTTGTATCTCTTCAGATATCATAGATAACTGCCGGGTCATCAGTGAAGAAGGCAGAAAAAAGGTATGAGCTTCTAGGAATTCTTTAGCAAATATCCGAATTAAAATCCAAACTGATATTCACATTTCATGTCATGCTTTCAGGAACCCTGGGAATTAAAATTTTGTGACCTTTTAGGCTTTTTAGCTAAGAAAAGTATTTCACTGTTTTAATGTATGAGGCTTTCTTTGAAGATTGGAAACTTCAAGTATTAAGAATTCAATTGCTGAAAGAGTATACTGAGAGCAGTTCATTTTCTTTCTGCTTTCATACCAAGTTTGGAAAGTGCTGGTCAATTTTTTAAAGCTTCAGTGAATTTGGAACCAGTTGATGTGAAAGTGACTGCTGATACTTATGAGAGTCATCATGTAACTTGAAAACAGCTTTGGAGATTCCGGTTTTGCCTGTTAGTAAATGTTATTAAAATGGAAAGTGCCAGAGATTAAGCCTTTCCAGCAGTAGCAAATTTATTGACATTATCTAATGTTCCATGTAATTACATACAGTAGAGAAAGGTAACAAACACTAGTGTTCTAATTTTAAAACTCATAATTCAGTGCTACTTATCAGCTTTGAAAATCTGTTTTTTCTTTGAACAAATGTGTTGATTTTGCCCAATATTCCAGCTGAAAGATTTACTTCATCATTACTATCCTATTGAAATTGATCCTTATCAGACTATGGAGGACAAACTGCCCCTCATGATAGAATGGTGAGTATTGTACCAAAGATTATTCTGTTTGATGTCCCAAAACAATTTGCAGGTTGGAATTGTGGGGTTTTTAGTTGCTTAGAAGGTGGGTGAGCTTTCTCCTATTTGTTTTAATTAGCTCATCTGACAAGACCTCTTGATACTGATATTTTCCAGGTGGACTAAAGCTCATAACCTCTTATCTCAGGAAAAGATTCTGAAGAATGATATTGCCCAAATAGTGAAAGAATCAGATGTTAAACTCAGGTATGAGGTTTGCATGTTGGATAATATTCAAAAAAGAGGTATAAGAAATAATAATAATAATAATAGTAGTAATAATAATAGTAGTAGTAGTAATAATAATAATAATAATTATTATTATTATTATTATTATTATTATTATTATTATTATTATTATTATTATTTCAATTATTCCTTCTTGGTATCAAATATTCCCCATTTACGTGAAGATAGAATTCTGTACCACACTTAGAATACTGCATCCAGATTTGGTCACCACGATGTAAAAAAGATGCTGAGACTCTAGAAAGAGTACAGAGAAGAGCAACAAAGATGGTTAGGGGACTGGAGGCTAAAACATATAAGGAACGGTTGCTGGAATTGGGTATGTCTAGTTTAACAAAGAGAAGGATGAGGGGGAACATGATAGTAGTGTTCCAATATCTCAGGGGCTGCCACAAAGAAGAGGGAGTCAAGCTATTCTCCAAAGCGCCTGAAGGCAGGACAAGAAGCAACAGATGGAAACTAATCAAGGAGAGAAGCAACCTAGAACTAAGGAGAAATTTCTTGACAGTTAGAACAATTAACCAGTGGAACAACCTGCCTCCAGAAGCAGTGAATGCTCCAACACTGGAAGTTTTTTAGAAGAGACTGGACAGCCATTTGTCCAAAATGGTGTAGGGTTTCCTGCCTGAGCAGGGGGTTGGACTCTATGACCTCCAAGGTCCCTTCCAACTTTATTATTATTATTATTATTATTATTATTATTATTATTATTATTATTATTATTAAAATATAAATATAAATATAAATATAAATATAAATATAAATATAAATATAAATATAAATATAAATATAAATATAAAAACTGGCCCAAAGCTTTAAGGTTAATATTGCACACTTAATAGTGCTTATTTTCTGCATGTTCTTTTTCACCCAGTGCAAATCTGTTGGTACACAATTGTGTCAACTTGATTAGAGTCAGTAACTTTATGGTACCAGAAACCATAAAGAAGGGAGAAGTAAATGGGGATTGGAATGTTTTTCAGTTACAGAAGCAGAATGTCAGAAATAGTCATAATAGTATGTGCTGTTTGAGGTTTTGGAGCTCTTCACATGCATTTATTTTAATAATTCTATTAGTAAATGTATAATAAAGTTCACCTTTATTTTCCTGAGATGATAAACTGAAGAGGCCATTATGTGAAGAGGCCATTGGCTATTCTAATAGCCCCTTCACATGTTGAATGCTGGTGATGCAGAGATAATTAAATGCATATTTCAATGAAACATGCCACATTTAGCCAAAGATCTTGGGCTGGTACAGGAAATCCTTATTATTAGATTTTTATCCTGTCTTTAATACTTTAATAGGTAACTAAAGGCAGCAAACATACCAATATTCCTCTTTCCTCCTATTTTCCCCAAAACAACCACCATATGAGGGGGGTTGGGCTGAGAGAAAATGACTAGCCTAAAATCAGCCAGCCAGCTTTCATGCTCAAGACATGATTAGAACTTACAGTCTCCTGGTTTCTATGCCAACATCTTTATCACTAGACCAAACTGGCTCTTATTCCCAAAATTGGGACTAGAACGTCTATCACCAAGCAATATAGTGAGTCGCACCCAGTTTATGTTTTTTACTGTTATCAGTAAGCTAATCATTGTGGTTGTTAACCAGATCCAGCTTCTCCCATTCACATTGCTTGTTGGAAGCCCTCTGGGAAAGTTGCAAATGGCGAGCATAGGACCCCAGGGCTGCAACTGTCATAAATATACATTGGTTGCCAAGTACCTGGATTTTGAAGCCATGATTGCCAAAATACTATGATGGTTGTAAATATGAGGACCATTTGTAAGTCATTTTTTCATGCTGTCATAACTTTGAATACTCACTAAAAAAATGGTTGGAAGTTGAGAACTATCTATAACAAGGTATCCAACCCAGCAGGAACTCACATGTCAAGAAAAGGATTTGCTACCATCTGATGTTTATGTGCATGAGTTTTCAGTTGATAGAACTTTAAGCCATTGTTTAAATCATCCACCCAAAGTGTATTTTTAAATAAAATTATAAACTTGACATTTCATACTAAGCAATACGTTTATTCACTGGAACTATTGCATTTAAGTACACATGTGCTATCTAGAAAGCTATACTTTGTATAAATACAGATTTGACAATTTTGTATATTTTAGGATATCACTTGCTATTAGCTTTTGTCTTTTTCAATCTGACTATCCTTACTTGTTCCAAGAAACTGATAAGTGAGTGGATAAGTTCACTGTTTACTGTTGATAATATAAAAAGGGCATTTTTTTCTGTCAGGACTTGTGTGCTTCAAGAAATCATTGCCTTTTTGAGCTAATCTATTAGAAACATTGGGACTTTGCCAATGCCCTTCAAATATAAATGCCCACATTTTTCAGCATTAGCCTAATGTTTCCTTTCTCTTCCTTCTTGCACTTAGAGATGGCTTCAACATTTTTTTTGACCAGCTGCATGAGAACAAAGTTCCCCTGTTCATCTTTTCAGCAGGTGTAGGTGATGTGTTAGAGGAAATAATTCATCAGGCTGGTGTATTCCACCCTAACATCAATGTGGTCTCCAACTATATGGACTTTGATGACAATGTGAGTTGAATCATCTCTTTTTACCCACCTCATCTCCTCTGACCTGGAAGCATTCCAAGGATTCTGCCATTTTGCCCTGAGGGGAGTATCTTCAAAAAGCTTCTTGTGGAATCAGAGAAGGTGTTAAGGGGGGCAATAAATAAAAGAAAATTCCAGGCTTTGCCACAATGTATAGAATTTTGAATGCTGCAGTTATAATGAATATCTTAGGGACTTGGATAATTTTTTTCAAAGTGGTAAAAACTTGGGTTTTCACACTTACATTTTCATACTTACAACCATTGCAATATCTCCATGGCCATGTGATCAAAATTCAGACTCTTAGCAACTGACTCATATTTATTATGGTTGCAATGTCCCTGTATTACATTATCACCTTTTTCAACCTTCTGATAAGCAAAGTCAAAGGGAAAATCAGATTCACTTAACAACTGTATTACTAACTTAGCAACTGCAGTGATTCAGTTAACACTGGAGGCAAGAAAGATTTTAAAATGGAGCAAAACTCAGTTGTCTCTCTTGGCAACCAATTTTGAACTCAATTGTGATCATAAATTGAGGACTATATCTACAAAAAGTATGTTAACGTTCTTTTCAAACTCAGTATCCTTGAGATTGTTCAGTTTAGTAGAGACATTTCTAAACTATATTAAGAATGCTGTTTTATGGAGATAGGTTTAATTTCTATGGACACTATTGCTTGGGGTTTTTTCCTCAGCTTTTAGTTAAAATTAATTTTGCTCCCTATAGATCTGGCTGCTTCAGTTCCTAGGGATGTTTTTAATCAATGTGATTTAAGAAAATTATTAATAAAATCCATTTTTAAAATAAAGAGCCTCTGCTGCTTAGGCTTTGAAAACATAAGAAGTGTTCTCAAGCAGTGGATTTTGGACACAAACCTTCATTTTAATCTATGACTGGTATTTAATCTTATAATTTGGAAGATTATTTTTAAGAGACTTGTGCCAGCCTCCAATTTATCATCTTTCTAATACCAAAGTTTCATACTCTTATGGGTGTGGATGTCCACAGAATGCCTTCTAAGGTGCCTTTTGCCATTTTTATGTTATAAACCCATTATGTTTGCCTTTGAAGGGTGTTCTGCAAGGTTTCAAAGATCCTCTTATCCACATCTATAACAAGAACAACACAGTCCTGAAGAACACAGAGTATTTCCAGCAACTGTGCAAAAGAACAAATATCTTACTGCTTGGAGATTCCATGGGTGACCTCAGTATGGCAGATGGTGTTGCTGACATGGAGAATATCCTCCGGATTGGCTTCCTGAATGACAGGGTGAGTTGAGAGTATCTAGATGGCTAAAACAGTGAAAGCCTTGTCTGGAAGCAAAATAAGGCACCTATTTCAAGAAGAAGAGTTTGGATGCCATACAAGATGGTTCACTTGGGAGAGGTATAGCAAATTTCATTAGGAAGTAAGAGCTGTTTTATCTTGTGTGTTTAATGTTGTTCCTGCCTTGTCTTTTCTAGCCTTATGAATAAATAGGTTCTGCCTGAAGAGAAATAATGTGAAGGAGTAGCAGCATCAATCTTCTCTAGGTCTCTAAGCTTTAATTTTATCTATCAGGTGATATAAGAGCTGACTTGAAATATTTTATTAGCAGTCGAAATTAACAGAATAGCTAGATTCATTAGCTAGTTGCGGTTTTTGATTATTAGAATGACCACAGTGATGCATGTCTGCCAGCTTTTATGTTCTTCAGAACTCTTCATCAGACAAGCTGTTACCAAAGAAAGTGGGGATGAGAAAGAAACAAGATAGCTCAAAAGTTAGGCTAGGTATTATAACCATGAGGTAATTCTTCCAATTCAGTCTTGAGGTGGAATTTTTAGCCTTTTATCTGTATTGGGTTTCTTGTGGCATTCCATACACAGAAAATGTTCCATCATAGTATTAGTATCTATAGAAACCACAGACTGCAGGTTTGTTGAGATTAGTACTGTAATTGCTATTTATACTTTGTCCCATGCAGGTGGAAGAACGGCGGGAGAAATACATTGAGGCTTATGATATTGTACTGGAGAAAGATGAAACATTGGATGTAGTAAATGGTATTTTACACTTCATCCTTGCCCAAACTCTATATACGCTTCCTTAACTGTTGACAGCTAGTTTCCTTTTGGAATATTCTCCTCAGTGTTCTTTAACATTGCCATAATCAGGGCCCAGCTAGCATTAATCTTGTTTTTACATCTACTATACTGCTAATTAAAATGGCATCAAATTTGTACCAAGATATCTACTAATTTAGCAGACAATTTTCTCTTGGCCAAATTGCAACAGAATCAGGACTTATTTGACGAATTAAATACTCTTAAAAGAACAATATGGGAGTAATATTATGGATTAGACTTGTCTATTGTTACTCCCTGTCTCCTAAAATAGAAAATAATGGCAATAATATGGTGCAATCCACTTTTAAGATACATTGCAGTTATTGAAATAATTTTGCTAATAATTTGGTATTATTGGTGATGCTGTTTTAATGCATATTTGTGGAATGTGGGTTGAAGGGCTTTCTGGGTGAGTAGCTTTGTTGGAATTCTATATATTTGGGCATGTTCTAAATTGGATGTGTGAGTGAATTTAGGTGCCAGATGTAATGTAAAGTATTTTTAAAATAAGGTTAATACATATTAGTCCCAATAGTTATTGAGCTTTTTCCAATGAAAATTAATGTGTAACAAATAAGTTTAACTCTGATAATTAAAAAGTGTGCATAAATTAAGGATTTTTGTTTGACTTGTATGCAACTGTTGGATTTCTGATGTTCTGTATTTTGTTTTCATGAAACATTTATTTTCCAAAATATTTTTGAACTACGGTATATATGGACAAATCCAGCTTTTCCACAAAATTTTCAACATTTTTTATTTAAAAGACATGTAAATATAATAAAACAATTGCCTTATTTTGAACATTTTGGTATGCCTATTTTGTTTTATCTGCTTTAATTGAACCAATTTTTTAAAAGTTATCACAGTACCACTGACTTCAACATACTACAATTTTTAAAAACCAGTTGTAACTAAAAAAACCCTCTTCAGACTTTTGTAAGTCCAAAGGCACATACTTTAGTATTGATTTTACTGATTTCAATCCTTAATATTATGGCTTATTCAAAAGAATTCTGGGTACTGTAAATTTCTGGATGTTCTGTTCAGTAAAAGAGAATGAGTCCTAGACTACTTTTAGATGGGTGAAGCACAAAAGACATTTTAATTTTGTACCCTCTATATGATGATAAATATTGTTCCACTGGTGACTTAAGGGCCTTCAAAAGATGTGACTGCTATGTTATGACTATCTTTCTTGAATGACTTGATGTATAACTTGAAGTACATGGGAGAAAATCCGTTACTTAGATAGAAAAAGGCATAAGAACTGAAATTCATGTATTTCTATAAGACATCAACTTGGAGAAATTGTGGGTGCCAGTGCATCTTTTTGTATATTGTGTACAAAGACTACAACTAGGATGTGCGTGTTCTAGCCTTCAGAAAAAAACATTTTACATAATTATAAGTGGCCTGTACTTACAATTGCTTGTTGCTCAAAAGTAACAATTTCATGTTGCTTTCAAGAATTTTAATGATTCAGTTGAAACATGTAGCTCAGAATCTCACATGGATGTGCACAGGTTTTCCTAACTTACTTCAGCCTTTCTATTAGTACTTTTTATTATTCAGCTCTACTGGCAGCTGGAGTGAGGTTAAACATGTGTGCTGATGTAACTATCTGATATCAAATTAAGACTTAACATCCTCTTGACTGACAAAGTCACGGATGTTAACAGTCCAATATTGTCAATAATGTCCCTTGCCTGCCATAAAGATACATTATTTGTACCAGCCAGTTTTTTTTATGGTGAACTAGTTGCTTCAAGAATTTTAACAGTTAAAGGATTTTAATTTTATCAGTTAATCATAGATCCCCATTAGAGAAAAATGCAACCAAAGCTGATTTAAGGAAAGTAAATTATGGTCATGCTCTTCTGATCAAGACTCTGGATTTTTAAGATTGGTATTGATCCAACAGCCCTGTACTTTAACAACAGTTACAGAAATTCAAAGGTAAAGTCATGAAAAAGGCTGAGCCAATTAAATCCTTTAAGCATTGTGCAGGAATCCATTTTTAAAAAATGCTTATTCTAACTTATACCAAAAAGACAAAAATTAATTTGGGTTCTTTTTGCCTTAAAAACCTAAAAATAGTTGATGAATACAGAGAGACCTGATACTGCTTATTTGGCTCCAATAAGCCAGTCTGGGTTTCCTGATAGTGAATTCAACCTTGATTTGGACAGTTGAATGCACAGATCCCAAGCAGAATATCTGGTTTAATGTCATGATTTATGGGCAAGACAACTGCTGTAATCGGGAAATAAGCAGAATTCAATTAAGATGGAAGAATTGGTCTCAGGAAAGGATATGTAACCAGTGAATTGGGAGATTTATCACCATTCATTTAGCCCACTGGGTTTTGTTTCTCATTTTACTCATTTCCAATAATATACAGTCAAAGCAAAAACAAATGAGGAAAAAACCTAATGGCTTCCTATATCCAGTCTAACATTGGAAGTGTTTGAAGGCCAATTTTCTCCCCCAAATAGGGAAAGGACCACCAAATGGGAACATTTTTTAAAAAAGGGATTCTTTATAATTTAAAGTTCCTCATGTTTAACTTGATCCTCATCTGACTTCAGCTTCAGTTCCTCTGCTGTGATCTTCCCATCTTTATTCCGGTCTTGATTCTGAAACATGTCTGTGATTACTTTTTCTGGGTCAATGCCTGGAATCATATGTCCTTTGTCTTCTGCAATCTGGGACTTAATGAATGTGGAGAACTGCAGAATGGACATAGAAAAAAAACCAATAGTCCATTATTTCTAAAAGTGGGTCCTCTAGATGTGAAGCATTTCAAACAAAGTGATTTATTTCTGGCAATAATGCAGCTAGGATGAAATAATCCATTTAATTAGTTATTGATTTTACTGTATATACTGACTACTGAATACCCTAATAAATTTTTCCCTCAATGTAGGCTTAATAACAATTCAGCTCAAGTATTTATAGAAACTAGATAACATTTTAAGAGCTCCATCTCATATCAGGAAATGCCCCAACTATATGCATTTTCTACAAGCAAAATCTTGTTGCTTTCTTTAGACCTCTTTCTTTTTTGCCAACATATGCATTCAATGGACTAGGCCAGTGGTGGCGAACCTATGGCACGCATACCAGAGGCGGCATTCAGAGCCCTCTCTGTGGGCACCTGCGCCATGCCCCGGAGATGGCAACCATCCTCTTCAACCAGCCGCCCGCTAACTCGCCAAGGTCCCATGTGGCCGGATACATTCCAGCATGCACTTGCTGGCCTCTGTGTGCGGAGGTTGATGGTGCCAGGCCTCTGCCTCGCCCTGTGACAATGGCACCCCCGCCCTGCCTCACCCTGCAGGACTAGCCTCCTGCCCACCACCTCACCCACCATAGACCCCCCTGGATCTCCCCCAACCCTGCCCGGCCCCCACAGGTGTCCCTCCCGAGGAGCAACATCAAGTTGGCCACGCCCACCCATCTGCCATGACCACTGTAGCCACGCCCACCCGGCGGCCACGCCCACCCAGCACCCAGCGATACCTAAGTGGGTTTTGGGTTGAAGTTTGGGCACTCGATCTCTAAAAAGTTCGCCATCACTGGACTAGGCAATAAGAATCAATCTAATTATCCTTCCAGTTCTGAATCCTTTACCAGCTGCTTTCTTTCTAAAACAGAACACAGTCTCACCTCCTCTGATGGGACTTCACCATTCTGATTCAGATCCATAGCTTCAAACAGGTTTTGGGGTGGCTCACCATGCCAAATGAACAAATAACCGTCTGGAACACCGACTTCCAGGTGTAAAAGTTGTATTTCAAAGCGAAGAACAGCACTTCCAGGTACACCACGGGCTCAAAGAAAAAGATTAACATCTCAGTACAGGTGATCCTCAATTTATAACCATTTGTTTAGTGACCGTTTAAAGCTACAGTAGCACTGAAAAAGTGACTTATGACCATGTCAATGAAGATTCTCACTTCCAGATGACTTATGACCAGTTTTCATACAACTTGCAGCATCCCCATGGTCACGTGATCAAAAGTTGGGCACTTGGGCACTGGCATATATTTATCACAGTTGCACTGTCCCATGATCATGTGATTACCATTTGTAACCTTCCCAGCTGACTTTCAACAAGCAAAGTCACTAAGGGAAGCCGGATTTACTTAACAACCGTGTGATTCACTTTAACAACTGCAGTGATTCACTTGACTGGTAAAAAGGTCATGGAATGGGGCAAAACTCATTTAACAACTGCCTTGTTTAGCAACAGAAATTTTGGGCTCATTATGGTCATAAGTTGACAGCTATCTATAATGCAGAAATCTAGTTTCCAGGCATGCACAACAATGTTATAGGCAGCAGTAACAGTGACCTGATTCATACATTAATTTGGCTATTGTGGGCTTAACTATGGTTTACTAAATAAACCAATATGTATAATCCTATATTCATGCAGCACACTAAACTTAACCTGCCCAAAGAATCACATATGCCTTAGTATGACATGCAAACTAGGGTCTGTGAGTCAAAGGCAAGGGACATATTTATTCTAATAAATGGTCTCTTTAAATTATATTAAAGATTACAACAATTATTTCTAAGAATTTAAGTCTCTTGATAGAATCAATGCATTGTTTCTACGGCCATTCTGTTACTGGGCTATCTAGCACAATCCCACAAGCATACAGCAACAAAGATGATTAGGGGACTGGAGGCTAAAGCATATAAGGAATGGCTGCTGGAATTGGGTATGTCTAATTTAATGAAGAGAAGGACGAGGGGGGTCGTGATAGCAGTGTTCCAATATCTCAGGGGCTGCCACAAAGAAGAGGGAGTCAAGCTATTCTCCAAGGTGCCTGAAGGCAGGATAAGAAGCAACGGGTGGAAACTAAGCAAGGAGAGAAGCAACCTAGAACTAAGGAGAAACTTCCTGACAGTTAGAACAATTAACCAGTGGAACAACCTGCCTCCAGAAGGGTGAATGCTCCAACACTGGAAGTTTTTAAAAAGAGACTGGACATTTGTCCGAAATGGTATAGGGTTTCCTGCCTGAGCAGGGGGGTGGACTAGACGATCTCCAAGGTCCCTTCCAATATTATTATTATTATTATTATTATTATTATTATTATTATTATTATTATTATTAATAATAATAATAATAATAATAATTATTATTATTATTATTATTATTATTATTATCTTTTTCTAAGTGAAAAATAACATCAGTGATACTCTTGGTTTTGTTTTCCTCACTAAGGCTAGCTTAGCTCTGCCAGCGTTAGGTTCACTAGATAGCCTTAGATCCATCAGCATTAGCTTTGATAGTGTTAGCTTTTTCACTAACACTAAATGCCTTAGCTCCACGCACGTCAGCTTTGCTAGTGAAACTAAAACTCGTAAAGCTAAGGCCAGTGATGAGAAGAAATCCTCCCAGTTTTCCATTTCTTGCTAGATACTAGCCTTAGCTGTGCCAGCATTAGTGGTTCATTTGATAGCCTTTTGACTTCCCACCTAATATGTAGGGTCCATAACTCAAGGACTACCTGTATCACTTTACACACACACACACACACACACACACACACACACACACACACACACACAGAGAGAGAGAGAGAGAGAGAGAGAGAGAGAGAGAGAGAGAGAGAGAGAATCAACTTTTTCAATAATGATATCTAGAAGAGAGGGAGGAAGGGACACAGGAAGGGATTCAGGATTAATCCAATATTTATTTCTACATTTCTTCTGCTCAACTTGTATAATTGAATGATAATCTGAAATGTTTCCTAAGAAGTTGCCTTACCACCACTTTCACCATGCCCCAAATGTGGAGGAACAATGACAGTCCTCTTCTCTCCCACACACATGCTGAGTAGGCCACTGTTCAAGCCTTCAATTATCTTATTGGTACCCAGGGTAGCTTCTTGAGGATGTTCATAGTCATGCCTGTTAGTGGGAAACAAGCCATTGAGTCCTCTTGAAAATACTTTCTTGGATTTTCAGAATAACGTGTTCCATCCCTTATTAGCTCTCTAAAGTTTTTTCTGTAGAATTCTAGATTTAAGAAAAACCTAAATTCTGCAACTGTATTGATTATGCAAATTATTGTATCTCTTTATTTAAGCACATAGTATTTTGCCTTAGAAAGGTATCTAAAGCAATGTGGGACACTGACAAAGTTGTGGTGTTCTCAGAAAACAGCCCATGAAATAAATATCTTAAACAACTATTGTAATTTAGAAGTCCCAAAGTTTTCAGGTTTATATAGTGCTTTTCAGATCAGGAGTGTTATATTTGGTTCGTATAGGTAAAATAAAGGCTATGTTTGTTGATGTATTTGTTCAATATTTCCATTTTGGGATTTTTGCAGTGGAGACAGGGTAGATATTTAACTGAACTGAACTTGGAGCTAGGAACTCACGAGGAGAAAAGCTTGGTACCATCCAAGAGTGAGCAGTTATAATGATAGCGAACAAAATCTCTATCCTGAGCGGTGACGTTACAGTCTGCAGGGCGGAAGATGGTCTCTATCTCTACGGAATCTGTGGGGTTGTGGAAATCAATGACATGGACATCAAATATAAGGACAGCGGAGCCTGGTATCTTGTTCCCTGGAATACAAAAGAATGCAAGAAAGAATGAGGAAGAGGAGAAGAGTATACAACCTGCCTGCAGAAGCGGTGAATGCTCCAACATTGGAAGTTTTTAAGAAGAGACTGGACAGCCATTTGTCCGAAATGGTATACGGTTATTATTATTATTATAATATATGTAGGTCCTCTGTGGAAGTTGGCCGACCAAAGATATTTTGCTGCTCTGTTTTCCAGGAACATGGACTCCAAAAAGTTTCAAACAGCACAGGAGGTAACATTGTCTATTGATATATTCCCTATGTTTACATATTGTTAACCCGTTGTTTGTTTTAATTATTGGTTTGTTGAACAAGCTATGATATCAAGGTATACACACCATGTTGAGACAAACAGTGGTGTAACAAATCAGAATTGGTATATTCACATACTGCATGAAGGCAGAATCAAGCCTATCACTATGAAATATAAACTCAGCCATTTCTTCTGCTTTTGTTTCACAGTCTAGCCCACTGAATATTGAACTTTATGACTTCTGAAAACTTTTTCCATACTGCACTATTAAGGAATGCAAAATCTCCTTGGCTCAGGAATCAAGTAAATTGTAGACACTGGACACTTTCATATTTTATTTGAGGATCTGTTGTATCTCAATGTTGCTCTATTAGATTTAGAAGCCAACCAATGTTTAGCAAAAATTGTTGGTTCCAAGGGAAAGGAAGAGCAGGGCTAATTCTACCATAAGGGAAAATGAAGTAGCTACCTTAGGAATAGATGTTAGAGTAATTAGACCCTAATTAGCACTGCTTGTTAATATTTCATAGGAGAGCCCGTGTGATATAGCAGATAAGTTGATTAGGAGTTAAAAGGGCATATCTACTCTCTGTCATAGAAAGTCAATTGCTTTGGGGCAGTCTCAGTTAAACTTAATTTGCATGGTTTGGAGGTGAAAAAATTAGAGAATAGAGTGCTGTACATGCCACCTCGATATCACAGAGAAAAAGTGTGACTACATTCCAATCAAATCAATGGCCTATTAAAATAACTTGATTAAGATCCATACACTATAAACAACCTGGATTTACTTCCAGGACAGATAAAATATGTTCTTGAGAGTGGCACAACACACAGAAATAGAAATACTGCAAAATATTGAAAATTTATCTTAACGTTTGCAAGTATAGTTGTATTCCAAATGTCATAATCTTGTATTACAAAAGTCTCAAAGGTGTTTTTTCAAAAGGCAAGGGGACTGCTTTTTCCTTTGAGGAAAAAACTGGTTTTTTTCCTCAAGGGAGAAAATAATCCAGTTGCCTTTTGAAAAACCACCTTTGAGACAACTATGACTGGATGACTGAGAATCTCCACAGACCTAATAGTTCATATGTCTGGACATCCCAGTTAACCATACAGGAATTGAGCCACATAGCTACCTCAAGACATCTTAAAATCTGCACTTCCATATTTATAGAGAATTCTTTGCCAGACTTGAGTGCCTAATTTATATTCATGTTATAATTATATTTTTCAGATACAGATTGCTTTGTCTGATCAGCAAAGGAGAGAATTCCCACAGATCTCTCTAGATGTGTTTGGATTGTACAGCTCATATTGTACAATAGGCATGGGAATTATAAGAGCTTGTCCAACACATTTGGAAGATAATATATATTTATACATATAAAAATGTTTATTATAATTACATTAAAGCTTTCCCCAATCTTCTTGCTACCTACCTGCCCCATTTTCTCCATAGGCTAAGTGGGGAGGAATTATTATTCGTCTTCTTTCACCAATGCAGACCCCTTCTAGTCCTTGATCCATTCCAGGGATGATATAGCCTTTCCCAATGTAAGTGTCGTAAGTATGATTCTGTGAATAACTGGAATTGAAAGAGAAAAGAAATTGTGGGGAAGAACTGGCTGGTGCTACAGCAAAACCCATTGCTCACTCCCAGCTAGACTGCTCACTGTCTAAACCAGGGGTAGGCAACCTTGGCTCAGGAATTCTGGGAGTTGAAGTCCACGAGTCATAAAAGAGCCAAGGTTGCCTAGCCCTGGTCTAAACTCAATTTAAGTAAACCTGGTCTGTATAAGGGAAGGAAGATCACAACAGGTGAACAAAACTGGCTTAAGTAATAAGATAAATATGTGGAAGTCTCTCACTTCCGTACAATTATTTTGGATCAAATTCAAATAGTTAGGATTTCAACAATCAGAGGATTTCTACTTCTTGCTTTCCACTTGTGATGTTTTCCTGTTCTTTGACTGTATTTGGAAAAACCTGCCTGAATAGTTACTTTCTGGCTATACCGACCTTCTGATATACTGATCTGGATTTATGAAGATAAGAAAGGAGCAACCTAAAGGACATAAACACAGGAGCACTTTCTTATTAGCTAAGTGTTTGAATGGCATGGTAAAATCATTCACCAGGATTTTGGTTTAGCAGTTTATGCTGCTCTGATTGCTCTTACTGGTACCTATTTGTGGATGACAACAAAATTTGCATACACATGATACCCAAACAAAGGCTGGCATGAATTAGTCCTTTCAATCTTGCATAATGAAAACATGTTGTTTTATTCAGAATCTATTATATGGGATAGTGATATTTGCATAAGGTTGTGATGTCACCAAATCTTCTGGCACATGTACCCAGTTGCTGTAAAGATTCTGTTCTGCCAGAAAGGATCAGGACCCCCTTATTCTAGCAAAAGAGGTACAACTCCAGTCATTTTGTCTCACTTGAACACCTAGTCATGTGGCAAAATCCTATTTTGAATATCCAATTTTAAGAAAGCAACTCATGTTGGGTAATGTTCCTTGACACTACTATACAATCTATCACATCTCTATGCAACCTGTGGCTTTCACTGTTTTCTTGCCTGATGGTGTATTTTCCAAGGTAAATTTCAATTCTAAGATCTTTTTTTCATTCCTAGCTTGGCAAGTCATCATGACACCTAGCCAACTGCTGATGCCTAAAAGGCTGGTTAGAACTCAGATGGAAGCTGAAGGTTGCTCCTGCACCCTCTGGAAAGTTCTTACAACCTGTCTTTGGTTCCAAGCCAAAGGCTGATATATTAATGTATTATTGTAATTCTGGTGCTCTTGTTTCTTTGTATTGTTTATAAGATCCTTTTTATCTGGTCTGTCTCTTGGATTTGATATTTTACCTGTTTTTCTGGATTTTCCAATTTTGTACGCCACTTAGAGCAGGGCTTTTCAACCAGTGGTATGGGTACCACCTGTGGTACATTGGCATCTGGCAGGTGGTACGCGATCATCCTAGAAAAGTGGTAGCGGGGGAGGGGAATGAGCTGAACCGGTGGCAGCACCGCACAAGCCTGAGCGAGAGACGGCTGGAGCTGCAGGGCTGTCAGGGCTCAGCGGAAGCGCCAGGATCAGTGCCGCTTTCCAGCTGATCGGCGCTTCTTCGGGGCTGTCAGGGCTCAGTGGAAGCACCAGGATCAGCGCCAGGCTCCAGCTGGCTCTCGGCGCTGATCCTGGCACTTCTGCTGAGCCCAGAAGAAGCACCAATCAGCTGGAATGTTGCAGCATCTCCAGGGTCTTGTGATTTACATTCAGATGCTTCGCAACTGATTCATATTTATGACGGTCACAGTATTCCAGAGTCATGTGAAGTGACCAAAACCTGCTGCAACCACCCAGCAGATGGGGGGAATAAAAACCAAACACCCCCCACCTCACCCCTGCTGCGAATCCTCAACAGAAATGCTCACAACAATGAAAACCTCGGACAGCAGGAAGAGCACCGCTGGGAGGGCAGGCAGGCATCTTGCTCGGCTCTGACTTGGGGGGCACTTTTTTCAGTGCCATTGTAACTTCGAGCAGTCATTAAGCGAACTGTTGTAAGTCGAGGACTACCTGTACTTTATAACTTTTTTCCTTTTTTTTTTTTTTGGGTCATCAAGTTTTGACACCTTGCTAGGCGACTGGTGGTACTCGGATGTTGCCATATCCTAAAAGTGGTACAATGGGTGAAAAGGTTGAAAAGCCCTGACTTACGAGTTCATTGGGGTTAGGGGCTAATACATTTGAATAAATAAAATAAATAAATAAAACATCAAGGAACCAAGCTGAAAGAAGCCAATCACTTCCATACTGTTGCCATAAAGACTGTATGGACATGTAATCATCAGAATTTGAACTTGATTCAGCAGAGTATTTTCTTCACCTGGAATCGAAGAGGGTCCCATCCATTAAAGTGCCATTATAATGGTACCGCACAAAATCTCCTGTCACAGCCTTGCGTTTGCATGATGTTGGCACTTCCAAGTACTCCAAGAAGATACTATCTTTTGGATTGTGCAGGTCCATCAAAAGAACATAAAAAACCAAAGATGCTTGCGGGGGGATGACAGTACCTAAGAGAAAGAAAGGAGAAAGGACTCAGCTTAAGCTGGCACAGATATGAATTGAGTCAGATGTGGTGATAACAATGCTTTTGATAACAACTGGATGATAACAGTATGCTGTTTATGTTATTTGTGGATATTCACTCTGGAGGAATACAAAAGATGCTATGTTTGTAAGAATAGATTTTGATATTCATTTTTAAAAAATGCCCAGTTGCAAAGCTTAATTCACTGCAAGTCTCAGTAGCTTGCAGCACCTGGTATAAAACAAACAAAAAACCCTGAATATATCTCAACACTGCACATAATCCACATATTTCTCCTACCCAGCTGGGAATTCTGAGATCTGCAGTCCCAAAATAACTGGAGGGTAGAAGGATAGCGGTGACTACATAATCCCAAAACTACAAAAGAGTTCCATATAAGAGTAGAGCTAACAGCCACAATTCTCTCCTTACAAATGTCTATTTTTCCACATAAAATTTGCAAATGATGGGTGGTGGTTAAATCCAAATTATTTGCGAAATCCAAATGAGTAGATCTGCATTTTTTTGTAGCTCAGGATTTCATAACAAAAGAAGAGGAATAGTTCATCTCTTGGTGAAGAAGAAATACATGAATTTCATGACCAGCTTACCATAGCCTTTCTCTCCATAGGCCAGGAAAGGAGGCATGACTATTTGCCGCTTCTCTCCAGGACACATCCCTAGCAAGCCTTCGTCCATACCTTTGATTAGCCAGCCTGAACCCACATAGGTGTCATAAGTATTGTCTTTTCCATAGCTAGGAAGCAAGAGAGGATGGAGAACAATTTTTTGGATACTAGGTAGATGAAGCAGATCAGGGAATGAATGAAAACTGAGCGGCCAACAGTGGTCCAAGACAGTATCTTAAAAGCAAGTAATTTGGATGGCTCTGGCAACAAACTCAAGACAATATATTGGCCTCTATCTACCCTTATTACATCTTGTTGTAATTAGTTAGGAATGACTTTGCAAAAAGATCTCTGCTTTATAACTGTAACTGAGTTAAAAGGTTATAACATCTTGATCAGTCAACTTAATTTGCTTGGTCTGGGAATGTCTGCTTCTTCTGCAATTGTATAGTTGTTTGGGGATTGCTGCCCCTACTCTGGAAAAAATGAAATTGTTGAGTTGATTATGGAAATTGCTTTTTTAGATGTATTTTTTCTTTGTCTGAACCAAGCCACCAGTAATATGTTAACACCAAAGTAGGCAACTGAAAGAAGTTTGCAAGTCACACATGATCTAGTGTAGCCTACAAACGTCTTTCAGTATAACCACATAGATCATTCCACTTATGATATCATCTCATCATATGCTCAATTGTGGCTCTTAACTGATTATTTTTATAAACATTTGATCCTCAGCTGCCAAGAAATTGCTCTCTGCTTTAGAATTTCTTACCTGGAATCAAAGGGGGTTCCATCCAGAAGTGTGCCATTGTAGTAATATCGTACAAAGTCTGAATTCTCCACTGTGCGATTACACTGTTGTGGCTTGTGGAGAGTGGTGATCTGCAACTTATCTTCTTTGTTCCAAATGTCAAGCAAGATGACATCAAAATAGAGGGTGGTATCTGGTGGGATGAGACCAGCTAAGGGATTGAAAATAAGATCCACTATAATGGAGACCAGGAGAGTACCATGTACACAGCATTATATCTTTCCATATTATCATATAGCTAGAAAATATTGGCAAAGAAAATGGTGAAAAAAACAATTATGGATGAAAATATATGATGTGGAAGGGAAAAAAGAAATCTGGAAAATACTATGCATATTTATAATTGTGATTGAGAAGCAACTTTCTAATTTAGAGTTGTAAGCATAATTCTGCTCTCATCTTTCCAATCAACATCAGAAGTTTGATACTCACCAACACCGATGCTACCATAGCCAAGGTGTGGTGGCACAATGAGATGCCTCCTCTCATTCACACACATGCCCTGCAGGCCCCTGTCCATGCCAGTGATGAGTCGTCCCACACCTGCAATACCTGCCACAGTAGCACCTCGGTCATAGCTGGAGAAGAAAAATTATTGTCAGAGTGAGAATTAAGAATAAATAATTAGATAATTGTTCTAAATTGACCACTAATCAGTAACAATATGTGGCAGTGTAGGGAAAGTCAATGAAGTATAAAATTTATATTTATTTATTAGACAAATGTATATAATGGCTAAGTACCAATAGAATTCCAGGTGGTGAACGGATAATATCATACAAATTTACAAATCAAAGAAAAATCTAAGCCAAGGACGCTTAAAAAAAAAACTACTTCAGCAATGGAACCTGGAACATGCCCACTCTGATCTTGGGATGGACAGAAACATTCTGGAAATATTTCAGCCCCATGCCATGTAGGCCTTTAAAGGTGACAACTAGAACCTTGAATTGCCTGTAGAAACCAGTTCATGTTGTAGTGTGTTGTGTGGGTGTACCTCACAGCATACCCAGTACTGCATGTATTGCATCTGGATCAACTTCCAAATGCTGAAATATGTGTTACAATTCTCCAACTAGGTAGTGATTATGGCATGAGTGACATAAGCAGTACCCCCCCAATCTAGGAATACAAGTCTGCAAAGAATCTACGGTACTTTGAGTTTGTGCTCCTTAAGCAATAATTGTTGAGTCCAAGAAGAGCCCCAAATTTTGTGCCCCAACCCTGTTTGGAGCAGTGTTACCTCACCCCAGATTTAATGATGAAAAAAATATGAATGTGAGGATCCCTAAAACCTTCAGCCACTCAATCTTATCAGACTTTACTAAGAAGACCCAGATTCAAGTTTCCATTTGATCATAAAGTGTACTGGGCAGCCAGTTACTCTATCTCAGCCCAACCTACCATTCAAATCAAAACAATTTATATAGAACAATCAACTAAGCCTGAATACCGCAAATGACTCTTTTGTTCCCTTTGAAAGGCACTTCTGTTCCCTGCTGGAAGGTTATTTTAACCACAACAGGATTTTCTCCATCTATCATATTTGTACTGTTTCAGGATAGAATCCATTGAAATCTAAATAGAGAAGGACATGACTCTGATTGTGAAAAAATAGAAAGGGGCTGAAGAAATCAGCAAGTAAAGGTCCTATGGCCCTAATTTATACTTGCAAAAAAAGGCAAGTATAATAATGGTCACATAATAGTGGTCACCAATGCACAGAATGGATTGACTAAGCCAGGGGTGTACATCCTTGGCAACTTTAAGATTTGTAGATTGGGTGGCTAGGGAATTCTGGGAGTTGAAGTCCACAAGTCTTAAAGTTGCCAAAGCTGGATACCTCTGGGCTAAACATTCCCTCTGTAATGATGCAGCTGAATATTTTAGGACAGATCTACTATAATTATTATTGTGCTGCAAAAGCAGAATCCATGTGTTTAACAGAGTTGTATCTCAATCTAATTATTTATCCAGATCATGGATGGATGTTCTGCAAATCTTTCCTTCTAAAATGATCCCTTTTTTCTAGCATAGAAAGAAGAAAGTGAAACATGATCTCTAGTTTCCTTTGCTCGGAGTCGAATAGCAGAATCTTACATTCCAAATGCAGCTGGAGGAAAGGCTAGCTAAGTCAGCATGGCCTTTCCAAAACTGCAGTTTAAACTGGGACTGAATTTTCCTTACCAACAAATCTTCTGAAAACTTAAACTAGCCATAAACTTGCATGCATTTTATAGGGCTGGCAGCCTACTTCATGTATTTGGAATAGGAATGGAAGCCAATATTTTAGCTTGCAAAATCTAGCCATTCAAAATTAACTTTTCAGTTCTGTTACGTTTTCATGCAGTGACACGTCTACAGCCAAAATTTCAGATCCCATTATAGACACTATCTCTTTGGCACCCCTTTGCAACCCACTGTCTCTTTCCTTTAAACAGTTTCAGGACACTGTCTAGGTGAAAATCAAAACTAAACATTAAGGGCAATAATATTTAACACTTGAAGGAAATATTGAAATATTGTAATACATTTGAACACTATAGATGTATAAGCAAAAGTTACAGTATATTCACACTCACTGATGCTGAACTAACAGAGTATTATATCCAGCTATTATATCCTGCAAAAGAATTTATTTTCAACTTTTTGGCATATTAAAGGCATGGAACTTTATTACATGGGATTATCATGAATATGAATGTAAATAATAGTAATATGTTGGACTGGATTGATCTAGCGAAAGAATGCTTACATAAATACTTTTTTAAAAAGTCTTATTGGAAGATCAGCTAATCAATGGATCTTAAGCAATATAACTAATAGAAGCCTTTCCCGTAGTTTTCCCATTCAGTTGTCACTGGTATAAGAATCATAACAGTTGTAGTCAAAATACAAATGGAAAGCATGGGATTAGAGAAGGCTTCCTGAGTGTTCAGAAATCCCAGGCAGTGCAAATACAGTGTATTTAAATATGGGTTGTTAGGGCAAAAATCAAGCAAATTATGGATATTGGTAAGAAACCCTGCTCCCATGTTGTTGAACAATAGGGAATCTTATGGCAGATGCAGAATTAAACCTTGTATCCCCAATAGTAAATCTCATTACATTCAACAGGGAACTATTTCTGGGTAGCTGTTTAACAAAATAATGCCATTAGACAACCAGGTGTTGAGGGAGCCAATAATAGTGATTAATGCATGGTGCAATCCTAACTTAAATCCATTTTCTAAAAGGAATAATTATGAAACTAATTAAAGATAAAGTTTCCATATCAAAATCTAGAGCGAACATAGTTTGATATAAATAGATGTCATTATAATTAAATTTAAAAAAAACAACACTGCAGTTCTCACAGTGTTTTCCTTTTCAAGTCTCTAACCCTTTTATTTACAGAGATGAAAGGAAACATGCATGGATGGTTTCTATTTAATTGTTCCATAAGGAATAAACCTGTTTCTAATACTCTGGTCAAAGAGTAAACTTCAAGATATGGTTGATAATCATATGATATGTTAACATTTCATCACCTACTTAAGCAAATAGATTTAAACTCATTTTAGACGTTTACCATATTGAATTCTCCACCATTTTGCCCTGGCATCTCAACCCACTATAAGACAGGAATCCATCTTATCCCTCCTTTACTCAAATATCTGGTTCCTAAGCCGGTCCCACCTTCTTTCTCATTCAGAACTAGGAATTTATAAAATTAACCCAACATTATTCCAATAACATTCATCCATGCTTTGCCTTCTGCAACATAAATGCTGTGCAGTCACATAGAAGTGATGTGAATGGTCAGCAATGCCAAATTTCTTCTTTATTGAAGTCCAGCAAAACAGGGAAAAGAAGATACATAATTCCTCAAAAAAGAGAGGGTGTAGCCTTTTCTTTTTTTAGTTTTTTTCCCCTGAACTTAATACTTCGGAAATACTCTGCAAAATAAAAGAATAAAATGTAACTTTAGTTTTTGTACTGCAATTTACGGGAAAACTTTTTCCTTCGAATTCTATAAATAAATAATATGCTTAACATTTTAGAATTCAGATTTAATAGGGCTAATAATGATCCCACAGCATTGTTCGTGACCAACGCATACTTATCCCTGGTCTCGACAAAAAAAGAGAAGTTTTTAAAAATAGCCCTGACTTTTCCCTCGTACAGTTGTTCTGGATTTACCGAGCGAGCCAGTACCTGGAGTCAAACTTGGTGCCGTCTTGAAAAGTCCCATTGTAATGGTAGCGGACGAAGTCACCCATCTGAACTTCTCGCAAGCACACTTTGGGGATGTAGTATCTGTCAATGACGACATCCTCTAAGGGACCGGGGTCTCCCAAGCTGTGAACCCCACAAGAACTCAAGGCGAAGATAAGGTATAGCAAATTCATGATCTTCCCCGATGGCACTATTGTGCAAAAGGGAGAAAAAAGCTGCACTTTGAGATTGCACGCTGCGATGGGAGGGAGGGGAAAGAACGGGCCAGAGGAGGCGCTTTGGTAAAATAGAGGCGGCCTAGAGAACTCTAGCCAGCAGCATCAATTCCGTCGACGTGTAAAACAGCGGCCTGAGCTAGGGTGGCCAAAAAAAGATCCTAAAATCCCTGCGGGACTATGGTTTCTACGTTTCTGAGATTACCGAAATCTCTCTAAAAAAACAGTTGGTGTTCTGCCCTTCCCCCTTGCCAGTTGAACATCAAAGGCTGCAAGAAACTATATGAAAAACGTGTCCGGGCAACAAAAAGTCTTGACAAGAGAACCGGACTCGCTAAAAAGGTTGAAAGAAACCCTTTTCCTGGTCCTAGTGCCGGCTGATTAACTCAGTGGAAAACAGAAGAAGGCCTGCTTACGTGGTCCCAAGGAGCGTGTGGTGGAGCGGCAGAAGCAGCTGAGTGAGAATCCTCCCTCGGTTTTTTTCCTGAAAACATTACAGTATTAACGTAAAAGAATCTGCTGCCATATAGAAAATGCTCTGATGCCAGAGGATCGGATAATTTAATAAATTCAGTAAATGTTAGTTATGAGTTCCACTATAAAGTATAGATAGATTGCCTCAGACCTTGCTTGTATAACCAGGGTGACTGAGGAGTGAAATAAAAGTGTCTTATAGAAGTAGGGTTGATAGACTTATTTCCTAACTAAAATGCAAGAGTAAATCAGCATTTTGTTTTATTTTTATCCCACCTTTTAAAAAAAAATTACTCAAGGAGGCAAAGGTGTAATATTCCTTCCTCCTGTTTTACCAGTATTTACCAGATTTACTATTTGAAAGTGGAGTGCAAACATTTTTTTTACAGATTTCTGTTTTCCTGTTCTACAACTGAATTGTTTTAAAGTGTAAATCCTGCAGCTTGGACTAATGCAGACAATATTTGTATCTCACATCATAGCCAATGCATTCCCATAAACAGAGATTCAGTGTAATCTTTTAGTATCAAATAGTAATAAAATCAATAATAATAAAATCATAAAAAAATAAAATAGTATTGTATTAGTAATAAAATCTCAAGTCCATCTTCAATCAATCAATCAGAATAGAACTGCAAGGGACTTTGGAGGTCCTAGTCCAACCCCCTGCTCAAGCAGGAGACCCTATATCATTTCAGACAAGTGACTGTCCAGTCTCTTCTTAAAAACCTCCAGTGATGAAATACCTACAACTTCTGATGGCAAACTCTTCCACTGGTTAATTGTCCTCACTTTTAGGAAAGTTTTCCTTAATTCTGGGTTGCTTCTCTCCTTGATTAGTTTCCATTCGTTGTTTCTTGTCCTGCCTTCTGGTGCTTTGGAAAATAAGTTGATCCCTTCCTCTTTGTGGCAACTCCTCAAATACCAGAATACTGCTATCATGTCCCCCTTAGTCCTTCTTTTCTGTAGACTAGCCAAACCCAAATCCTGCAACCGTTCTTCATATGTTTTAGTCTCTAGGCCTTTAATCATCTTACTTGCTCTTCTCTGCAGTTTTTCCAAAGTCTCAACATCTTTTTTGTAATGTGATGAACGAAATTGGATGCAGTATTCAATGTGTGGCCTTACTAAGACTTTTTAAAGCTGTACTAATACTTCATTTGATTTTAATTCTATGCCTCTTTATACAACCAAGGATTACATTACTGTCACATTGCATTACAGTTTGGTTTGGAAGCATCACTCCTTCAAACAGGAAGGCGGTGTAGAGAGTGGTAAGGATGGCAGAAATGATTCACTCCCTTCTATTCAGGACATAACATATAAGTGTTGCTTGAGCAGGGTTCGCAAAATTGTCTGGGACACTATACATCCTCTTCACAACCTGTTTTCTTTGTTACCTTCTGGGAGGAGGCTTCATGGTATCCAAAGCAGAACATCCATATTCAGTGACAGTTTTGTTCCATACAGTATTAACCTTGTGAACTCTCAAGCTTCCTCTTTTCGCTATGTATTCAGGATGAACAGTGATTAATATTTATATGTATTTATATGTGTAGGTCTCCTTCATGGATTACTGCCTTGTCGTGGCGAAGGGGCTTGCGTAACTCAATGAAGCTATGAGCTATGCCGTGCAGGGCCACCCAAGACGGACAGGTCAGAGCAGAGAGTTCTGAGAAAATGTGATCCACTGGAGAAGGAAATGGCAAACCACTCCAGTATCTTTGCCATGAAAACCCCATGGACAGTAGTAAAAGGCAAAAAGATATGACGCTGGAAGATGAGCCCCTCAGGTCAGAAGGTATCCAATATGCTACTGGGGAAGAGCAGAAGGCTAGTACTAGTAGTGCCAGAAAGAATGAAGTGACTGGGCTAAAGCCGAAAGGACGCTCAGCTGTGGACATATCTGGTGGTGAAAGGAAAGTCCGATGCTGTAAAGATTTTTTCTCCATAGGAACCTGGAATGTAAGATCCATGAATCAAGGCAAGCTAAATGTAGTCAAACAAGAGATGACAAGACTGAACATCAACATCTTAGGAATCAGCGAACTAAAATGGACAGGAATGGGTGAATTTAACTCAGATGACCATCAGGTATACTACTGCGGGCAAGAATCCCTCAGAAGAAATGGAGTAGCCTTCTTAGTCAATAAAAGAATAGGAAAAGCAATACTGGGATACAATCCCCAAAATGACAGAATGATCTCAGTTCGAATCCAAGGCAAACCATTCAATATTACAGTAGTCCAAATCTATGCCCCAACCACTGGTGCTGAAGAGGATGAAATTGACCGGTTCTATGAAGCCCTACAGCACCTTATAGAATTAACACCAAAAAATGATGTCCTTATCATCATGGGGGATTGGAATGCTAAAATAGGAAGCCAAAAGATAACCGGAATAACAGGCAAGCTTGGCCTTGGAGTACAAAATGAAGCAGGGCACAAGCTGATAGAATTTTGTCAAGAGAATACGATGGTCATAACAAACACTCTTTTCCAACAACCCAAGAGATGTCCCAGATAACCACGATGGGGTGGTCACTGACCTCGAGCCAGACATCCTAGAATGTAAAGTGAAATGGGGCTTAGGAAATCTGAGCAACAACAAAGCTAGTGGAGGTGACAGTATTCCAGCTGAGCTATTCAAAATTTTAAAAGACGATGCAGTAAAAGTGCTACACTCAATTTGCCAACAAATTTGGAAAACTCAACACTGGCCACAGGATTGGAAAAGGTCAGTTTACATTCCAATTCCAAAGAAAGGCAATGCCAAAGAATGTTCAAACTATCGCACCATTGCATTCATTTCACATGCTAGTAAAGTTATGCTTAAAATCCTACAAGCTAGACTCTTGCAGTATGTGGATCGAGAACTACCAGAAGTACAGGCAGGATTTCGAAGAGGCAGAGGAACTAGAGATCAAATTGCCAACATACACTGGATCATGGAGAAAGCTAGGGAGTTCCAGAAAAACATCTACTTCTGCTTCATTGACTATGCTAAAGCCTTTGATTGTGTGGATCACAACAAATTGTGGCAAATTCTTAAAGAGATGGGAGTACCAAACCATCTTATTTGTCTCTTGAGAAACCTATATGCGAGTCAAGAAGCAACAGTGAGAACTGGACACGGAACCACTGATTGGTTCAAAATTGGGAAAGGAGTCTGGCAAGGCTGTATACTGTCGCCATGCCTATTTAACATATATGCAGAGCACATCATGAGAAAGGCAGGGCTAGATGAATCAAAAGTTGGAATTAAAATTGCCAGGAGAAATATCAACAACTTAAGATATGCAGATGATACCACTCTATTGGCAGAAAGTGAAGAGGAACTAAAGAGCCTCTTGATGCGGGTGAAGAAGGCGAATGCAAAAGTTGGCTTGAATCTCAATATTAAGAAAACCAAAATCATGGCAATGGCCCTCTCAATTCCTGGCAAATAGATGGGGAAGAAATGGAAGTAGTGACAGATTTTATTTTCCTGGGCTCCAAGATCACCTCAGATGGGGACTGCAGCCAAGAAATTAAAAGACGCTTGCTTCTGGGGAGGAAAGCTATGGCAAATCTAGACAGCATACTAAGAAGCAGAGACATCACCCTGCCAACAAAAGTTCGTATAGTCAAGGCCATGGTTTTCCCAGTTGCAATGTATGGATGTGAAAGTTGGACCATAAGAAAGGCTGAGCGCCAACAGCATACTAAGAAGCAGAAACATCACCCTGCCAACAAAAGTGTGTTTAGTCAAGGCCATGGTTTTCCCAGTTGCAATGTATGGATGTGAAAGTTGGACCATAAGAAAGGCTGAGTGCCAAATAATTGAGGCCTTTGAACTATGGTGCTGGAGAAGACTCCTACGAGCTCTTTAGAAGGCCAGATCCTTAAGTTGAAACTCAAATACTTTGGCCACCTAATGAGAAGGAAGGACTCACTGGAGAAAGGCCTAATGCTGGGAAAGATTGAGGGCAATAGAAGAAGGGGACGACAGAGAATGAGGTTGCTGAATGGAGTCACTGAAGCAGTAGGTGTGAACTTAAATGGACTCCAGAAGATGGTAGAGGACAGGAAGACCTGGAGGAACGTTGTCCATGGGGTCGCGATGGGTCAGACACGACTTCGCAATTAACAACAACAACATATGTGTAGGTATATACATATGTTGTATACATCATGTTTATATGTGTGTTATGTATGTATACACTTTTGAGAGCAGGCAACAATTTCATTTTTAATGTGTGCCAGTGTGCCCACAGTAAAAAAATTACAATAAAGCTTATCTATCTTATTAGCTGTTTTGGCTGCTGCTGCAAACTGCTGGCTCACGTTTAAGTGATCGTCTACTAGGACTCCAAGATCCTTCTCACAGTTACTGTTTTTGAACCAGGTTTTGCCTAATCTTTACTTGTACCTTTGGTTTTTCCTGCCTAAGTGTAAAATCTTGCTTTTTTCCATTTCATTTTGTTGGATAGGGTCCATTGTCCATTCTTTTTGGATCCTCAGCTTGTCTTCTGGGGTGTTAGCTATTCCTGCCAGCTTAGTATCATCTG